TTCTTCTGGGTGGCTTCAAAGCTTTAAAAACAGGTATATTTTTACACATATTTATGATATTAAATTATTAATTTCTTCTATAACAAATAATTACATATGTAGAAACAATTTAAAAAGATATCAATTGCATGGAGAAAGTGGATCAGCTGATACCAATGTAATTGAAAATGCACTTCCTGATTTAAAAGCAATCATTAGCTCCTTTAGACCTGAATGTGTATATAATATGAATGAAACAGGACTGTTCTTCTGGCAAGTATAATACTATAAACAATATTTAAAATATTATTATTTGCTAATGTAATTTAATAAATACATATAGTCTTGAACCTGACACAACTCTAGCAACAAAACAACTTGAGGGAAAAAAAAGGACAAGGAATGTTTGACTGTTGTGCTCTGTTGTAATGCTGATGGAACTGATAAACTTCCACCTCTCATTATTGGAAAAATTTTAAAACCTCAGTGTATGAAAAATGTTAATATGAATAATCTTGGAATTACCTATAGAGCAAATACTAAAGCATGGATGACAGCAGTTTTATTTCAAGAGTAAGTAAATTTATGATTAATAATTTAATATGACTTACTTTATAAAGCATTTTTAATCAATTCTCAATTGTAGATGGTTAAGACTATTTGATCAAAGAATGAGTGGTAGAAAGGTGTTATTATTACTTGACAATGCACCTTGTCATATAATTGAAGGGGTAGAATTGAAAAATACACAGATTAAATTCTTACCACCAAACTCTACATCAAAGATTCAACCTTGTAATGCTGGGATTATTGCATCTTTCAAGAAACATTACCATCGTCGATTTGTACATCACCTTCTTGAAAAGTTTGAGGATAATGAACAGGTTGCCAAGCTTAATGTTTTAGAAGCTATACTATTCATTAAAACAGCTTGGAGAGATGATGTTACAATAAATACCATTGCCAATTGTTGGAAGCATACTGGTATTATTAAATTTGATAATAATGAAGAGACAGAGCAAGAAGGAGATGAAATAATTCCTGATATAGAAAAAAATATTACAGCCTTAAGGTATTAAAAATATTGTCTTGTTATTTTAATTTCAATGTTAATTATTTTATTATTGTTACTATTATAGATACAGAACCCCTATGAGAACAGAAGATTTTTTGAATCCTGTTGAAGAAAATGAAATAGAAGAACCTGTAGATGAGGAGACAATTATTCAATTAATTCAAGAAGAAGGTAATGAAAATCAGAATGAGGAAGATGATGAAGGAAATGAGTTACCTGTTATTTCTGCTAAGGAAGGATTAGAAGCTTTAGAAAAAGTCATGACATTCTTGTTGCAGCAGTCTAGAGATTGTTCAGATGAAATTAAAAAGTTGGCTAGTGTAAATAATACTGTGAAAAAGATTTATTCTGATTCTATGAAACAAAGTGCTATTAATGATTTTTTTGAAAA